AGTAGCACTTGTTGTTTGTTATTTCTCTGATCACAAATGCAGACATGGTTTTATGTTTACGCGGCGCGATGCAACGCAGCACGTAAAAAGACAGTATCATTATAATCCATAATTATGTCCCCACTGGATGCAACAAATGCCTCGTTTGTAATGGGTTTTATTGGTTTTGTCTGGTCGTGCCGGGAGACGGCATCACAGTATGGTAAGGGGCGTAACATTTCCGTCAAACGCTTGAGGTATCCGGCCAATCACAACGCACTGGATAGCTGGCCAATCAGAGCACACCTCGCCTTTCAGACCGATGAGCTTTGTAAAAATCAACGCATTTCAGAAAGACGGGAAACAATAATGTACAGTATGTGGAAAATAATGTGTTTTTTGAACCTTAAACCGCATAAACACATTTCATTACACCAAATACACCAAATAATATTATTTTTAGCAACATCATATGACCCCTTTAAATTAGTGCTGTCAAACGATTAATCACATATAAAATAAAAGTTTTTGTTTACATAATATATGTGTGTGTACTATGTATATTTATTATGTATATAAATATCTATATCTACTGTATATAATATATAATATAAATATATAAATGTATATTCATGTAAATATTTTCAAAATATATAATGTGTGTGTATTTATATTTACATAATAAATAAACACAGTACACATACATAGCCTATTATGTAAACAAAAACATTTATTTTGGACGCGATTAATAGCGATTAATCGTTTGACAGCACTAGTTTAAATAATTGGTTTTCGTTTTTATTACAAAGCACCATCGGATTATATTATTGCAATTTAATTTAAAAAGAAAAAAATTCTAGTATATGCTACACTGTATAAAATGACCGTGAATTTAACGGTAAAAGACTGTAAAAATGCTACAGTAAAAACCTGTTAAATGGTTAACGGTAAATTCCCCTACTATATACGGTGAAAAACTGTATTGGACATTACATGTATTGGACATAAATTTTACGGTAGTATACGGTTTTTGGAAGTGAAAAATACCGTATAATTTACAGTGAATAACCGTAAATTGACATTCCCAGAATTCCCTGCGTTACATTTCAAATTTTATGTTTTTTTTGGTTGAAATAACTGTTTCTTCTTAGTTTTTTCTTATCAGTTTTGTATATTAGGGTTGTGTGTTACACCTAATGTTGTTAAATGAATGTTTATTGCATTATTTCAGTTTCATGTGTGTTACCATGATGGTGTTTAGTGTTTGTGTGAATGATACTGTGCACCTTCTATATATGTTAATATTTAAAAGCTGCTTGTGATGGGCTTTGGTGTGATGGACTTTCTCATCACCACCTGCATTTGGTTGTTATCAGTGAATTACAAAGATACAAAACAGATTTCAGTACTTCAATAGGTTGGCATATTAACATTAAATCAGTTAATGAAATTACGGTATTTAACTGTAAATTTAAGTTAAAACCGTAAATTTTAAACGTTGCTACTGTATTTTTTACGGTAAAATGTACGGATTTTTTTTTACAGTGTAAGAGACGAATGGTCGTTTCACATGCATACTGTTTAAATGCAGCGAGATGCATTTGTAGATAATAAATGACACCCTATAATGCTGCTCAATCATGCAGCATTCAACTTGTTTTAATTAAACTTGAAACCGCAACATTATGATGCGAGCGAGAGAGAGAGAGAGAGAGAGAGAGAGAGAGAGAGAGAGAGAGAGAGAGAGAGAGAGCGGGGCCCCCGCACTCTCTCCCGCAGAGAAGCGCCCG